CTCAGCAACTTAGCAGGACCCTATCTCAAAATAAAATAAGATGGACTTGCTTAGCATGCAGAAGGCCCTGGGTTCAATCCATAGCACCTCTGAAAAATAAAACAAAAAAGCAACCCCATGTCCCAGAGGTCCTCTCTTCTCTCATTCCCTAAAGTAGTACATATTTGCTTAAAGAAAACAAGGTTACTGTCTGTTATTTTCACTCTACATTCCTAATACCTAGAACAGTGTCTGGCAGTATGGTAGTAGCTAAATATATATATATATATATATATATATATATATATATATATATATATATATATATATTTTTTTTTTTTTTTTTTTTTGGTGTATATATGGGTCCTAGGTATCAAATCCAGGGCCTTGGCATGTGCTGGGAAAAAATTTTTTTCCCCCAAACAACAACAAAATACATAAGCAGAAGGTTTGAGAAGAAAACAGAGTTTGGCAGGGCATGGTGGCACATGCCTGTATGCCCAGTGACTGAGACAGGAGTATTATAAATTCAAGGTCAGCCACAGCAACTTACTGAGGTCCTCAGCAACCTAGTGAGACCTTGTCTCAGAATTTAAAAAATAAATCTTTAGTACCAGCCCCCCGCTCAAAAAAATTCAGAGTTCAGTTTTGAATATACTGAGTTTGAAGCATCCATGGGATATGCAGATAGAGCTATGGAGAAGTTTATTGATAATTTCTTTCTTACAAAAACTTGGCAAAAAAGATATCTGAATTACCTCCAAGAGGGGAAAAAATTCTTGGGGGGTAGCTGGCAGAATTAGAAAGCTTGAGATGTCTGAGTGCCATATAGACAGAGAGCAGTGCTGCAGGGAAGCCCTGGCTGCTCAGGAGTCTTTCCCCATGAGTGTTCTCTCTGTCCTTCTCACCTTCATATACTTGTTGAAGACAGTCTGGATCTCCTCATTGATGCTCGGCTGCAGGACAGCTCGGAGGAGGTCCATGGAGATGGCAGGATCTGTGAAACTGCATTTAGGAGGGAGACAGAGTCAGCAGCTGTGGCCCAAACATATCCTTTCCCAGTGTGCCCAGCCAATTATTGACATAGGGTTCCGTCTTTCTTCTTCTTCTTCTTTTTTGGTACCAAGGATTGAACCCAGCAGTGCTTAACCACTGAGTCACATCCCCAGCCCTTTTTATTTTTTGTTTTGAGACAGCGTCTTGCTAGATTGCTGAGGCTGGTTTTGAACATATGATCCTGCCTCAGCCTCCTGAATTACTGGGATTACAGGTGGGTGCCACCATGCCCAGCGACATGGGATTCTTTAGCAGCAATACTAGATAGCTTTCACTAAACACTAGTCATGTGCTCAGATTCTGGGCAAGATCACATGGATGCTTGACTTTATTTCATTCTCATAAAAATAAAGTGGGCATTATTTTCAAAGTGAAATATAATATTTATACAGAAAAATACATACACTTAAACAATTATGGTGAATGACCAATCACTACCCAGGTTAAAAATTATAAATGGCATCCTTAAGGCCCATGACTTCCTTGAGTGAATCACTCCCTCACTTCCTTGAGTTGGATATTACTATTGGACCCCCTGCAAGACTGAGAAAAAAGAGGTTCAGAGAGGTTAGGGACTTGTCCAAGAGTTACTCAGTTAATACAGAGTCTGTATTAGAACACAGCTGTCTGACTCCAGAGCCTGTGTTTTTAACCTCCATGCTGACGTCTTTAGAGCTCCCAAGTGCAGCGTCAATGAATGTTAAGGATCTTGGATACTGTTGTTAAATCCACCTCTCTACCCTCCATTTCTAGATGAGTTCAGAGAGGGAAGTCAGAGCAAGTCATTCATCAGTGACTTGCTCAAGTACACAGAGTTGAGAATGAGTCTCTTTTTTCCCAGGCCAGTGCTTTCTACTGTCTACAGATCTCTTCTCAGCCATGTGCAGTGGGGATCCCAACACTCTCGCCCACCTCTGTACCTGGGATGTAAGTCCCACAAGGGCCAGCCTTACCTTGTTGTCATTTGTGAGCGGCGGCCCCTTCGCTGCACCTGCCGGTGCTTTATCATTATGTTCCAAGGGTTCTGTGGGAATCAAGGGAGCAAATGTCACTAAGGCCTGTGACACTGGGGTGGTGGAGGATGAGTATGAAGCTAGCCTAGAAATCCCTTCTCGGATCCATTCGCCCCCTCTCCCACTTTGGGGAGAAGGGGAGGACAGTGATTGGAAGGTGCTGCTAGGGAATAAGAACCGAGAAAAAGTTTCCTGCCTCAGAGTCCCAGCGCCGCCTTTCCTGGAGCAGCAGGAGGAACACCCAGAGCCTACTAGGTGGCAGGCTGCTTTGCCGGGGGCGTTAGGGCTTTTACCATCCCCTCGCCACGACTTGACGAGGTCGCCGGGACTAATCATCTCCGCCCTACAGGAGAGAAGCCCGGGCTCGGGGGAATGCCAGGCTGGCCCTCAGCACCTAGCCAGGAGGGCGTCGCCAGAACTCGAATCCAGGTCGTCCGACTGCGAAAACGGCAACCCCTCGGCAGCACCAGCCGCCGTGTTCTCTCGCCCGCGGGCCAGGGTCCCGGGAGCCCGAGGCCCTGCCCGGCCCGAGCCCAGGCCTCACCCGGGGCGCCCTCACCATGAGAACCAGCTGCCCCGCTGCGCCCGCGTCACCCAGCTCGGTGCCGCCCCGCTCAGCCCCGCCGGGTCCCCGCGGCTGCTCGGCGTCGCCAGTGGCCCCCATGGCGCCCCCGACCCCCACAACTTCAGCCCGACTCTGCCACCGGCCGGAAAGTGGCGCCGTGACGTCACCGGAGCGCGCCGCCCACTGGCCCGGAAAGCGCGACGCCGGCAGCTGCGGGGTTACCATGGGAACCGAACCGCCACCCTGGTCGCGGGCCCTCGGAGACCCTGCGTGTGGGGCGGTTGGGGCTCCCTCCCTGGAGCGCTGAGCCTCCGCGGGGACTGTGGGTGTCTCAGGGCCTTTCCCCGCTGGGCCAAGGCCCGGGACGAGTGCGGGGTAGGAGGAGTGGAGCAGGTGTCCGCGGGCTGAGGTTGGGAGCTGAGGGGACGCACGGTCCGACGGTGACACCTGCAGTTGGGTCTTTGAACACTACAGCTTTTTTTTTTTTTCGGGGGGGGGGGTCAGGTACTGGGGATTGAACTCGGGGACACTTTCCCACCGAGCCGCACCCCCAGCCCTATTTGGTATTTTATTTAGAGACAGGGTCTCACTGAGTTGCTTAGAGCCTTGCTCTGGCTGAGGCTGGTTTGGAACTCGGCGTCCTCCCAAGCTGCTGGGATGACAGGCGTGCGCCACCGCGCGGGCTACAGCTTCTAATATATCCCGGCAGGAGCCTCCAAAATTGGAGGGACCTAATGCGTGGACCAGAAACCCCACATGGGAAAGCGTGGCCTGTGCCATCCCAAACACGCACCGCCTCTCTCCACGCTCTGACCTCAGGGCTGTCTCCAGGGCAGCAGAATGAAGGTTGGGTCTTGCTCTGTGAGCCTCCCTTGCCGCAGAGAGCTGGGCTTCTCTTCCCGGAGGAGTGGTTCTGGGATGAGCTGGGAGGATGGGCTTAACTGTGTCATTCCCCAGCACCCCCCATAGCTCTGTCTCAGAGGTAAGATGTCCCCGAATAGAACTGGATTCATTTATGGGTGGTAATGAAAATGACTCTTGCCAGATCACAATATCGGGTAGTAGAAAGTGCAGGAGTTCTGCAGTCAGAAAGATCAGGGTTCAAATGTGATGTGGTATGGTGGTTAAGAATATTGGATATGGGCGGGGGGCAGTGGCACAGGCCTGTAATCCCAGCGGCTCAGGAGACTGGGACAGGAGAATCGCGAGTTCAAAGCCAACTTAAGCAAAGGCCAGGCGACCCTGTCTCTTAAAAAAAAAAAAAATAGAGCTGGGAATGTGGCCCTGTGGCAGAGTGCCTCTGAGTCCAGTCCCCAGTATCGCCCCCCATCCTCCAAAAAATATTGGATATGGAATTGGACTACCTACTTTTGTTCTACCACCTACTAGCTGTGTGACCCACTTTCTTAAACTCTGTCTTAGTTTTTCAACTGTAAAGTGGGAATAATAGCACCTGCCTTAGAGGGTTGTAATGAGGAGTAATGAGTTAATTCTTACAAACCACTTAATTTTACCCCCCTGGTATTGGGGATCAAATCCAGAGCATCATGTATGCCAGCCAAGCACTCTACCACTGATCCACATCCCACCCCCCATACAAAGTGCTTAGAACTATGGTACAACTAGCCCTTCAAATAATACTGTTACTGTTCCAAGGTTCCAGAGGCTACCATTTATTGACATTCTTTCCAGCCTCTCTGAGTCAATTTTTCCTTCCTTCTTTCTTCCTTCTTTTTATACTGGGTACTTCATCTCCAGTCCTTTTTATTTTCTAATTTGAGGCAAGGTCTCACTAAGTTGCCCTAACTGGTCTTGGACATGAGATCCTCCTGCCTCAGCCTCCTGGGTAGCTGGGATTACAGGTACGCACCACCATACCTGGCTTTTATATCAAGTTTCTTACCTTTGCAAGATTATTGTGTGAATTAAAATAAATAATGTATATGAAGTACATACTAGATATTAAACAAGTTTTAATTATTTCGTTGCTCCAACATCAGCCTTTTAACATTAAGGGCAACTTTCTTGCACCAAACTCTTTGGCTGTATTAAGGAGATTTTTACCTTGTACTTTTAATGTTCCCTCACTTTAGCCCTACAGTGCTAAGCCGTGCCAGTGGACACCACTAGGTATCACAGCTGACCAAATACACGAGCAAGACAGATAAAATAAAAACAGAGGAAGAAGAGATAGGGGAAGGGGGCATATGTGCTGTGAGTCATAGCAACTCTTCTCTGAGTTTACCAACTAGCCAAAATGTAGGGTTTTGGTGCATTCGCATTAGCTTTGAACAAACTCAAGTAGTGCTGCTCTATAGTTTTTTTTTTTTGATAGTTTCTAAGGGGCCATTTCATTCTGTCTCTTCTAGATTGCTCTGATGAGCAGGAACTACAATGTTGGTAAACTTTGTTATTTGCTTAGCTTGGCTGTTCTCTTATAAGTCATGCCTCTAGTCCTTCCCTTTGTCATTTCACCCGAGTCCTTTGAAAGGCCTGGAGGCTCTCTTCATCCTCTATCCAATGACTCTCCCTCCATTTTTCCAGCTTCCCACTAGAATCCTCACTGTTGTCTAGGGGTACTGTGTGAAGTTGCATTACAGAATTTGATCACCCCATCACATGTGCCCTATGGTAGTGCCAGGAATTTTCCCACACATCACCAACCAATCACTCTTCTTGTTGTCAGGAGAAGACATTCTTGGGCAGTATTGCATAAGGGAAGACTTTGGAACTGGGTTGAGGTAGATTCTCTGGTCCTGCCCTTTCTTTGGTTGATACTCTGGGCAAGGTGTTCACCTCTGGCCTGAAATGGGCTCACATCTCAACCTCAGCATCATCAGGATGTTAAGCTACCTCTTTCTTCTGAAGGCACTTCTAGCTTTTGGGTTCCTGGCATCCTGGGTAACAGCAGAAGAGCATGGTGAGCTATCATTTGGGATCCCTGGCTAACATAACAAAGTGACTAGAGGAGAAGTCTCCCCTGCGTCCTCCCAGTGTGAGGTTCCTCTTTTGTGGAGACAATCATCTCTGTAGGACAGGACTGGATAAATAGATTCGTAGGACAGTAAGAGTAAATCTTCTTGGCTTTCTTTTCCTTCTCTGAACAAGGAGACAGGACTTACTAGAAGTTCCAGTTATTCTTTAGAGCTCATTAAATGAGACCACTAGGATCACCCCAGCTCTGTATGTGCAGCACAGCTGGTGCTTTAGGAGTGGTGAAAGGGAGTTAGTAGTTGTGTGGGAGGAGGAGAAGCTGGGTGCTGAGATATTTTGGATAGGAATGCTTGGAGATGCTGAAGTTCTTGAAGCACTTTTGGGCTCCATTCCTCATTTCTCAAGGCCTAATCAGGTATCCCAACTTCCTTTGTTCTCTTTTGCAGTGAAAGAGGGAGAATGCCCTCCTGATAAGAACCCGTGTAAAGAGCTGTGCCAGGAGGATGAGTCATGTCCTCCTGGGCAGAAGTGCTGCAGCACGGGCTGTGGTCAGGTCTGCCGAGAATACATTTCCATAGGTATGTTGGCATGGAGGACACAATACCAGTATGCTCTCTGGCCTTGCCTTTGGGATGGATAAAACCAAGAGCTTCCTGCTTCTCAGATTGGCTCTTACTATCTAACTTGCCTAAAGAACTTCTTATTTTTCCTTTTTTGGGGGGTCTCCTTTCCTCATAAGTTGATTTGTCTTTTTTTTTTTTTTTTTGGCATGGGGGGTTGAGCCCAGGGCTTTGTGCATGCTAGGCAAGTGCTCTGCCACCGAGCTACGTCCCCAGCCAGGAGTCCTTTCTTTATTATTCAGTACTCCAGTTCTTTGCCTTCTATCAGGAAAGAGCACACCACTGATTGTCAATGTCTTTTACTTTGGACTGAGTTCCTGTAAGTCACAAGAGGGGCAGAGTTCTGAAGGGGAGCCTGTTTAAGACAGTGATTTCTCTTAGGAGCAGACGGACCTTCTTAAGCCTTAAACAAACTTTAAAATCTTAAGGTTCTTTGTGTGTGTGTGTGTGTGTGTGTGTGTTGGGGACTGAATTCATGGACTTGCACATGCAAAGCATTCTTTCTACCACTGAGCTACATTCTCAATCGCATCTTCAGTTTCCTCATTTGTAAAATAGAGATAATTGTGAGAATCAAATGTGTTGTTCCTGGTAAAAGGTGAATATCAATAGATGTTTTCATAAGTGTTGACTATTGTTGGTGGCTTTAGTGACACCTGGGGGCTCCCTTCCTCTGCTTCTCCTTTACGCTGTACTTCTAGGTGTTACAGGGCACCATATCTCCTTCCTGTTGCCATCTCTATTTCTTTACAGGGATGAAAAGAATCTGTCCCAGGATTGTTCGTAAACGATCCTGTTTTAAAAGTTGCACCACCGATGACACATGTCCAGGTGTAAAGAAGTGCTGTACGTTTGGCTGCAGCACAGCCTGTGTGGCCCCAGTCTCTCACTACAAGCTGGGTAAGACGTCCCACCCCCGCACCCTGGGGTCTGATTGACCCGCTGGTTTCTCTTTCAAAATGCACACACCCTCTGGCACTCTTACATCACTTTGAGAAAAAATGATTAAGTGCCTATTATGAGAACTTTAAGAAAAAGATATGCAAATGGTACTGAAGCCATGACGATTGGTAGGATGTGGCCCAGCTAGGTGAGGAAGGTGCCAGAAGGGCGATGGGGGCCTATTATTTGTAGGCAGGTTTGAAAGCTATTGGGTAATTCCCAATTACCAGTTGCAATATTCCCTATTAAAACCTTAGCTCAAGAATATGTAAAGAGATAGTAAAATAGAATCCAGTGCTTATTTGAAAGATCCCAATCATTTGCTTCTGAGACTCTACCCCTTCTGTGCACTCATAGGAGATGGCCATCTCCCGTTGAAAATGGATTCTTGTTTATTCTGGTTCTGGTAGAGAGATATTTGAAAGAAAAATTTCCCTCTTACAGGGTTCTATTTCTCCATTTATGCATTCATTCCTTCAACAAATTTTATTAAATGTGTTCTATTTATCAGATCCAGTGATGGGTTCTGGGTATATGATAATGAACAAAGTAGTTCTGTCCATGCGTTTATGGGGTTTATCACCTAGTAGGGGAGAAAGAAAGAGATTATTAACAAACAAGCATGTAAGTAAATACATAATGTCCAACTGTGATAAGGCTCTGAAAGAAAGAATAATGAGGGGACTGGCTTCGGAGGAGGAGTCGAGGAAGGTGTGTCTGAGGTAGTGACTGTTTTTGTTTGTTTGCTTTTTTGATACTGGGAATCGAATCCAGGAACTACATTCCCAGCCCTATTTATTTATTTATTTATTTTAAAATTTGAGACAGGATCTTGTTGCTGAGGCTGGTCTTGAACTTGCAGTCCTCTTGCTGAGCCTCAAAGTCAGTGGGACTGTGGACGTTCACCACCATGCCCTGGCTGCAGCCTGGAGAAGGAGCCGAAGTCAGCCAGGTGAAGGGGTGATAGATATGGTAGGAAGAGTGAGACACAGGTGGTGAGGTCTTCAGATGACAAGGAATCGCCCATTTAAGAAAGTGAAAACAAGCTGGTGTGGTTGGCATAGAGACAGAAAGGGGGGGAATGAAGCCAGCCGAGGATGGAGACCTTTGACATTATGGAGGTGGCAGTCGGACTGTGGAGGTTGAAGTGACAGCTTTCTGCTGTATTCTTCAACTCCTTCACCATGCCCTTGAGAGGCTCCTAAAAGGTATTAGAAATTAGGCACATCTTCCATGTCTAGTCCCCCTTTTTATTTTCCTGTTCTTTTAGGATTCTCCTCTACTTCTGCTTGTTTGTGCTTCCCAGTATATTTTATTATTATACTGCTTATTTATCATACCTACTTATAAGGCCACTTTTAATTTATTGCCTATGTATAAGGACACTTTATTGAAGTGATGCTAGTTATATAAATTAACTTAACTATTACAATATTGAATCTTTATCTCTTCCTATTGTTCGAGTGTGCTTGGTATACTTCATGTTGTTTCGTAGTTTTAAAATATTTATCAATAAGTTTACACCTAGGCATCTCTGCTGTCTGAAATACGGGGTCTTCTATTTCCTGAAGGAGCTAGAGCCATCCTCTCACTGAGTGCATGTGGCAGCATGTCAGAGTGGAAAGCACAGGTCTGGGATGTCAGGGGCCTGGGATCAGGCCTGATGTTCACCAGCTACTGGCCAGCAGGTCCCTGGGCGAGTCTCTTCTGTTTCTCTGAGCCTCAGTTCTTTTATTTGTAAGATAGAAAGAATAAACCCTGGAAGGTTGTTTAAGATGTTTGGCCCTTAATGTACAGTGGATTTCTTCTTCCTGGCATTGAAAGGGGGCCCAGTCAGGAGTACAGTGTCTAACCTGTCCTTTTTACCCAGAACCAGGATCAATTTCTCCTTCCCCATCACCTCCTCTCAGAGACTCTGAAGCTGCATAGCACATGACATTTCCTTTCAGCCAAGCCTCCACAGGTAGCAGATGCCTTCCCCGTGTCCACAGGGCTGTTTGTGCCTGGCTCAGGCAGCCGTCTTGGGCAGCCTGCCTGTATGAGAGAATAGAAGGTTGTACTCCTTGCCTGGACTCTTGAGGCTCAGCTCTGGAATCAAAGCCTGGGAATCTGTCTCAGGCGGGTCACTCACTGCAGCTCATAGGTTCTGGTTCAATCTTCCCAGTGTCTGAGGCTGAGAGCTGAATTGCGGGGCTGAGAGCGAGGCTGGCATTCCAGCACAGTACCTTTGTGAGCTGCTCTGGCCCTGGCTGGCCCAAAGGGTTTCCTTCCCCCCTGGAGCTAGGCAGGCAGGTCAGAATGGTGATCTGACACTGTCTCAGAGCCTGCTGACTGAGCAGGGTCCCCAGCCTGGTAGGTGAGATTGTCTGTTAGTTAACTATTTTTCTGCAGCTCCATTCCTGGGAAGGGCTGGCTACTCACCCAGTGGGACTGTTTGCTAGGAAACTCTTCTTCCTGGGCTAAGAAAAATTCCTGCTTTCCTTAAGCTCTGACATTGCCAGAGGTTTAGCATGGGTAGTGCCAGAATGTTTGGCAAGGTGGAGGGGCAGTCAGGTTGCCCGAGGGCATGGGTAGACTCTGGGACTTGCCTCAGTTCTGGTCTGAGGATGGGACTGCAAACTGGTACAACCATTATGGAAAGCAGTATGGAGATTCCTCAGAAAACTTGGAGTCCTTTTGAAGATCGAGTTGACAGCACTACTAAAGCAGTGAGGGGCTCTGGAAAGGGCGTGTCAAGAACGATGTTAAGTCAGGCTTGAACAATGAGGGGATAATTGTGCTCTAGACTGAGATGGGAGAACCTGGGGAGGAAGAGACTTCGTAGAAAAGGTTAAGATTAAGGTCCAGGAGTTGTCTTTGTGGGCTCTGCATGGCTCACCTCCGCAGTGAATGAAACTGGATCACTCCAGATCCCCTGTGAGACTGCTTTGTTTATTATAACACACGCGTTATGTCTTTTGTATGGGTTGATGGCTTGGGCTCCTCTTGTGTCTGGCTGACCTCTTTCTCTCTCTCTTTCTTTTTGGTACTGGGTATTGCAGGGACACTTAACCACAGAGCCACATCCCTAGCCCTTTTTTGTATTTTATTTAGAGACAGGGTCTCACTGAGTTGCTTAGGGCCTAAGTTGCTGAGGCTGGCTTTTGAACTCACGATCCTCCTGCCTCAGCCTCCAGGGCTGCTGGGATTACAGGCTTGTGCCACCATGCCTGGCTGGCCGACCTTCTTCTAAATCCCCACTTCAGGTTGTACAAAGCAGAGTTAATACAGCAAGATGGAGACTGCTGTTCTTAGAAAAGTCTGCTGGCAAGACTGGCCCTTGGCTGGCTTCTGGGAAATTGGATTTGGGGAGTGTTGCTACCTTCCTAATTGATAACAGTGGCTCATTGTGCCCAGACTGTTTGTGCAAGCAATGTGGCTTAGGATGAATACCTGCTTTTCTTTCCAGGAGTGTGACTTTGGTATGTGCTGGGCAGAGGGTGCCTACATGACCAGCCTGCAGTAAAACTGTGCCCACTGAATCTCGAATGAGTTTTCCTGGGAGACGACACTTCACATACATTGTCACAATTGTCTACTAGAGGAATCAAGTGCATCCTGTGTGATTCCCCTGAAAGAGGACTCTTAGAAACCTGTCTGGCTTCCTTGTGACTTGTCCCATGTACCTTTTCTCTTTGGTGATTTTGCTTTGTATTCTTTTGCTCTAATAAATCACAGCCATGAGTATGACTATATGCTAAGTCCTCTGAGGAATCACTGAGGCTGTGAGTGGTCTTGAGGGCTCCTGACATGCTGGTTTATAACTTTTCCAAAGCCCTAAAACTGTCAGCCTCTGGATCTTCTCTTTTGGCAGTATTAGAGTGGGTCTTAGTGTTGGTTGATTATTTTTTGAGTGATCCTTACTGAAGGGTAGGGGGAAATTATGTGGTTCAAAAGACATAAGACCTGGTGCCTGCCATCAATGGACCTCGTTCTGCTGCTACTGACCTCAGATTGCAAGAAAAGGGGAGTAGGTTTGATAGCTCAGAGGGCCTTTCTTGGCTTAAGATGTTCTGAAATTTCACTTTTATGACAAAAATTGGCATCCTTCTGGAAGAAAGTAGAGGTGAAGTCAGAGTGGGAGTTGGGGTGAGGCGGCAGTAAGCCTGCATTTTCTGGACTTCAGCTTACTACTTTTTTGTGTGATCCCTTGGGGTCTTGGGAGAGGTACAGATGCAGGGATTGGGTGGCCATCCCAGTTTTGGGCTGCCATTCTTATTTCTCATCCTGATTCCTCATAAGATCATTAAGAGGTGATGGGGAACCAATGCTTTTTGAGGAACTGAGCTTACCTAGCCCGACCAAGTGAAAGGCAGAGGATCTTATCCAAGAGATGAAGGAGGCATGTTTTTGAAAGGTCCTGGTAATAGAAAAAGAACCAGTGGATAGAATTTCGAAAGAACTGGATTCCAGGTGAGTATAAAGGACGATAAAGACTGCCTTGCTGGAGTAAAAGAATGACATAGTCTGCTAGTGGCGGTGACACATGCTGTCATTCCAGTGACTTGGGAAGCTGAGGCAGGAGGATTGAAAGTTCAAAGTCAGCCTCAGCCATTTAGTGAGGCCCTAAACAACTTAGCAAGATGCTATCTCAAAATACAAAATACAAAATAAAAAGGGCTGGGGTTGTGACTCAGTGGTTGAGCATCCCTGGGTTCTATCCCTAGTACCAAGCAACCAACCAAACAAACAAACAATAACAGAAAAAAAAGACAAAAAGAGGAAGGAAGGCCCCATTAATTCCAGATGTTTGAGCTGAAAGAAAGGAATTATTTGGCAGGTATTTGAGCGAAAGTCTGGGTGACATTATTGCCGGGCACCAAGTCAAAGGGGTATGCTGTGACCCTCAGGACCTGTATGGCTTCTAAAATCTGGCAAAATCCCAGGGACCTCAAGGATATCCAGCAAGGAAGGGAGTAGGGATAGGGCCTCTCTGCATTGTCCTGGGAATGAGGATAGAGAGCAGAGATGCTCTTGGCATTGGCCACATCAGAACCTTGCTCAGCACAATGGTGAAATCTGGGAAATAGGTGCTCTCGGCCCCTCTCCCTAGGGTTCATGGTATAACTCCGAGAAGTCTGTGTCACTGGGTTTTTCCACCAGGGAGATTTTTATACTCAGCCCTCTCAACTGTGGGATAAAAGTCTTTTGTTCTTTGTTTAAATGGAACTTGAGTGTTGGTCAAGCAGATGAGGAGGTGTGGGAGGTGTGTCAGGTGGTTCCAGTGACCACATTTTCTGAATAAAAACTCAGGACACAGTCTTGACTGACTTCACAAGGGCATGAAACATTTGGAAAATCCCAGGGGGAGATCAGACAGCCTGGCTGTTTAGCTGCAGTTGTGCTCCCTGGAGTCCAGCCCTTGCTCTTCTCCCCGCGGCAGACTTCCTGGGGTCACCCAATGCAGGCACACTTACCTGTTGCTGTGCAGAGGCACTGGGCTGCTCCTGGTTTGGTTTTCTAGGAAGCCATTAATTGCCTGTCACCTCTCTCTCTCCATTTAAAAAAAGAAAACAAAACCCTGGAATAAACCCTAGGACAAATGCGTCATGGTGAGTTGGTTTGGCTTGGATGAGGCCTTCTTTGGGTGTGCCAGCTCCTGAGGACTGGCTTAGTTGACTGCGTGTTTTAAGGATGGTGTCACAGAAAGTACTTCATTGCAAATTAAGAGGCTGAATTTTGTTACTCTTAGCTGTCATTCTGGGAAAGCCTCATTCTCTCCTCCGGATCTCATTATCTTCACAGGGATGTTGAGGGGGAACATCTGGAATATGTTTAGCTACCCACCACAGAAGATTCAGTAGAGCAGGGTTCCTTGTCCTCACACAACGAGAAATCCTGAAGTAGTTACCAGGGCTGGTCTGGTGGCTCTGTGGTACAAACAAGATAGAGTTATTTCTCTCATTCTCCCTGGCAATTCCTGATTGTGTCCTCTTGCTAGTTGCCTCCTGGTCTTGAAGAAGGCTGTTCTCCCTTTCCACATGGTCTGTCTTTGGACTGGAAAAAGGAAGAATGAGGGGATAATTTGTATCAGAAATGCACAAGTTTCTCTAATTTACGTTTTAATTTGGTCACCCCTACTTCCAGAGAATACGGAGAAGTGAATCATTTTAGTGGATTTATTGCCTCTCAGGACAAACATGGGGTTCTGTTAAGGAGTGTTTCACTTATATATTGCAGTGTAACAAACCATCTCTAAATGTAGTGGCCCAAAGTAGTAATAGCTTATTCTGTCTCATGGGATTGACTGGGGCTTAGCTGGGGGGTTCACCTACACACATGGGAGGCTGAGGTCACCCATGCAGGGCACTTGAGTGCAGCTGGCATGTCCAGGATGGCTTCTCCACTCCAGCTTCTCTGTCCATGGGGGTCTCCTCATTTCACAGTCTAGCTCAAGCTGCTTTCCAGAATGGCAGCTGGTTTCCAAGAAGGGTTCCAAGAGGACAAGTCCCAATGTAGTGTTTATTAAGTCTCTGCTTGTATCACTCTTGTGAATGTCCCATTGGTGGAAGTAAGCCTTGGTTCAGAGTGACTATGGACTGGCTTTACCCGGGCATGAGTGCCAGGAGATGTAGTGTGAATGTCTTCCGCAGTATGAAAGAAGGCAGAATGACTCTAGTGGTTTAGAGCTGAACAGGGGTTTTCAGACTGTGAGTGCTAAAATCAGTTTATGGCCAGCATGAAAAAAAAGAATAGAAATAATATGAAACATCAGGGCACATGGCATACAGGACATGTGTAAGTATGTGCATATATACATATATGTATGTGTCAACATATGACACGATGAAATGTGTGTTTCACACTTGGGACTTGAGAGCCTCTGGATTTCAATGCTTGGTTCTCTGGCAGGGTTTGACGGTGAATGTCCCGACGACCCCCTTCCCTGTGAGGAGCAGTGTGACGGGGATGCGGCGTGTCCTCTGGGGCATAAATGCTGCAGCACCGGCTGTGGCCACACCTGCCGTGGAGACATCAAGGGAGGTCTGTTTTCTTTTAATTTATTTTTTATCTGTTGTTTTTAGACATATATGACACTAGGATGTATTTTGACATATTATACATACATGGAATGCAGCCTGTTACAATTTTTGGGATGGGAGTATGGAGACTGAACTCAGGAGCACTTGACCACTGAGCCACATCCCCAGTCCTATTTTGTATTTTATTTAGAGACAGGGTCTCACTGAGTTGCTTAGCACCTCACTTTTGCTGAGGCTGGCTTTGAACTCATGATCCTCCTGCCTCAGCCTCCTGAGCTACTGGGATTATAGGCTTGCACACTGTGTCCAGCCCATTATGATTTTGATTCCATTCTTGTGGTTGTACATTATGTGGAGTTACACTGGTTGTGTACTCATATATGAGCATAGGAAAGTTATGTCCAGCTCATTCTACTGTCTTTCCTATTCCCATTCCCCTCCCTTCCCTTCTTCTCCCTTTGTCTAATCCAAAGAACTTAAATACTCCCCCTCCCACTCTCCCTTGTTATGTGTTAGCTCCCACATATCTGAGAGAACATTTGGCCTTTGGTTTTTTGGGACTGGCTCATTTCACTTAACATGATGTTATCCATTTTCATCCATTTACTCACAAATGCCATAATATCAGTTTTCTTTAAGGCTGAGTAATATTCCATTGTGTGTATATACTACATTTTCTTTATCCATTCATTTGTTGAAGGGCACCTGGGTTGGTTCTTGGCTATTGTGAATTGAGCTGCTGTAAACATTGATGTGGGTGTGTTACTGTAGTATGCTGTTTTTAAGTCCTTTGGGTTTGAGCCCAGGAGTGGGACAGCTGGGTCAAATGGTGGTTCCACTATAAGGAATCTAGGGAGGGATGTTGGCTCTTGTGGGAAGAAGTTCTGAGGTGCTCCCTGGGTTGCAGAATCAACCTGAGACGCAGCCCTCCCTGGCCGCCTTTGCTCTCCCTCCTGGGAGGAGCCAGAGCTGTCACTTTCCTATGCCCCAGGCGGCAGCCTAAGGCAACCCTTCCTTCCAGGGCCACAGGGCCCCGGGTGGGTATTCCTGTTCCAATTCCTTTGGTTTTTCAATATTACAAAAAAGCTAGTGTGTATTTTCAAGCGCTCCTTTTGTGTACTGTGGAACTCCACTTCAGAACCATTGGCCCAGATTTGTTTAGTCCCTTGGGATTCCCAGGAATTGCTCCAAGTGTTGGCCTTTTGTCCTTCTGTGGCATGTAACTTGTCAGGGAATACAGATAATTAAACAAGGAATTACAGATATTCCTTGATTTAATGATGGGCTCACACCCAAAAAACACATCATAAGTAGAAAGTGCATTTAGTACCCCAACCCTACAAAACCTTCTAGCTCAGCACTGTCATGGCCCACTGTAGAGGTTTGGTTCTGTGTCCACCTCCTTCTGTGGCTGAGTTGCCCAGCCTTGCAAGAATAGTGTACTGCTTATAAGTAGTCTGGGAAAGGTAAATATTCAACATCTGAAGTGTGGTTTCTACTGAGTAGGTACATCTTTTCACCATCCTAAAGTTGAGAATCCTTCATTCAAACCGTCTTGAGCTGGGGACCATCTGAACAATAAAGTCTGACGGGACAGGGTGCTTCAGAAGTGCGCCGCAGCGCACCGCCCCTCATCAGGGGCGGCAGACAAGAAAGTGACGCCCCCAAGCCCAAGCATGAGAGAGAGGGGAGCCTGTCCTCCTGCAGTCCACTTGTCCCTACCCCAAACCTGCCTAGCCACCAACCCCTGAGTGACTCCAGGGAATTTCTTTGGGACACTATTTGAAAACTCTTGGCTCAGAGTCTTTGGGTGCCTAAGGTTCTCAGATGCTCTAGCTTCATGGCTTCCAGCCAGATTGGTTAAAACCTAGTTAGGGGTCAAGAGCCAACTCACTGGGAGTCCCCGTGTCTTAAGTTCTAGATGGAACCTGGGGACAGTGGAGCCAATGCCCTGTCTCTTTACCTGTCCTTTTCCCCCCAGGGCGGGCTGGGAATTGTCCCACCTTTCTGGTAGGCCTGTGTGTCGTCGAATGCATGATGGATGAGAACTGTCAAGCTGGGGAGAAGTGCTGCAAGTCAGGATGCGGCCGTTTCTGTGTCCCACGGTCCTTGAACTTCAACAGGACCCTCAGGTCGGATCTGAATTAGGTGAGAACAGTCCCCTCAACAACCAATATCAAGGTAATAGACTTAACCGCTGTGTGCAAAGAGCAGCTTAGGTCCTGGGAAGGGGACTGCTGAAGGCTCAGATGGCTCTGGTCAGGGAGAAAGATCCTGTGTCACCGAGCGAAACTGCTGTGGTCAGTACGGGCTTGTAGGTGTTAAGGTGGGTACGGTAGAGATGGGGTGTGATCTGGGTGTGTCAAGGTGGGGCTAGCGCAGACAGTATGCCAGACAGGCGGTGTGACTGTTAGGGAAGTGAAAGGGTGGGCACGGTGTACGTGATTGGGCAGTGGGGGCTGAGGGACAGTGGATAAGGGAATAGCCATAGCTCCTCTTTTTGATGACAGGAGATACAAGGTGGACTTCTGTGTGACCAGAGTCTGCAGTTGGGTTATTTAGGAAGCAGGTAGCCATGTCCACTTTTGAGAGCAGTGTCTGCCACGGTTCTTGAGGGTGGAGGGAGGACACGGTGGGTGGCTGGGGCCGGAGGCACCGTGGTGACTTGATCTCTCTTCCCCTTGCAGAGGCCTCGGTGCCCTACTTGTCCTGATTTGTCTGGAGCTTCATTAGTGACTCCAGGAGGTTCGTCCTGGCAGCCAGGAGAGGCTGACATCCTGCGGCTTGTGAGCCCTCTGTGTCCTGCTTTTCTTCCTCCCTGGCCTGGAGCACAGGAGGAGCAGTGCTGGCTGGGGTGGGTGTCGGTGCGCCTCTTCCCCAATAAAGGCTGGTGCTGGCCTCTGTCTGTGTGTCTGGGCTCAGATGAGGCGGGACTGGGAGGCTGCTGAGGGAGGCTGGGGGAACAATAAAAATGGGTGTTGGCTGGGTGTGGCTGGGAGGGAGATGGGTGGAAGTAGTGTCCTCCTCCAGCTGCAGAGGTGGGCTGGGGGAGTTCCTCTTTTGGGGCCTGTTTGCCCCCCCCCTTTTAAATTGGAGAATGTGAGCTGGTGGGGGGACAGGGGAGGCTGGCTACTTTATTGCCTGAACGTCCCCACTTTAGGCCTTCTTCCTTGAAGTCACTTTGTCCCCTCCGTGTGGTTTCACTCCAGGTAAACAAGGTGATTTTGAAAAATTGTGGTTTTTCTTATGTGTGTACCCAAAAGGGCCATGTTATGTATCTTGGAGATCTTTTATGTTATCACATATATTCTTTTTTTGTGTGCATCTTAGAATTAAAATTTTTTTTTTATCTTTTTATTTGTTGAATTTAGATATACATGAAGGTGGGGTATATTTTGACATATTATACCTACGTGGAATCAACGTGTTCCCATTCTGATCCATTCTTGGGGTTGTACATGATGTGGTTTTTACACTGGGTGTGTATCATATATGAGCGTGGGAAAGTTAGGTCCAGTTCATTCCACTGTCTTCCTATTCTCACCCCCTTCCTTCCCTTCTTTCCCCTTTTTATACTTCCCCTTCCTACCCTTCCTTGTTAAGGGTTAGCTTCCACGTATCAGAGAGAACATTTGACCTTTGTTTTTGTTTTTTAGTTGTAGGTGGACACAATATCTTTAATTATTTATTTATTTTATGTGGTGCTGAGGATAGAACCCAAGACCTCACGCGTGCAAGGCAGGCACTCTACCACTGATCTACAACCCCAGCCCCAGGCCTTTGGATGTTTTGGAACACAGTTATTTTACTTAACATGATATTTTCCAATTCCATCCATTTACCTGCAAATGCCACAATTTTATTCTTCTTTATGGCTGAGTAATATTCCATTGTGTATATATACCACATTTTCTTTATGCATTCGTCTGTTGAGGGTACCTAGGTTGAGTTCATAGGTTGGCTATTGTGAATTGAACTTCTATAACATTGATGTGACTGTGTCACAGTAGTATGCTGATTTTAAGTTCTTTGAGTATAAACCAAGGAACAGGATAACTGGGTCAAGTGGTGGTTCTATTCCAAGTTTTCTAAGGAATCAGAGTGGTTGCACCAATTTATAGTCCCACCAGCAATGTATGAGTGAACATTTTCCCCCACATCCTCACTAACATTACTACTTGTATTCTAATAATTGCCAATCTCATAGAGAGAGAGAATCTCAGTGTAGTTTTAATTTGCATTTTTAATTTCTAGAGATGTTGAACATTTTTAAATAAATTTTTGACCCTTGTATTTCTTCTTCTGTGAAGTGTCTACTTAGTTCCTTTGCCCATTTATTGATTGGGTTATTCATTTTTTTTTGTGGTGTGTTTTTTGAGTTCTTTATATATCCTGGAGATTAATGCTGTATCTGAGGTGAAAGTGGCAAAGATTTCCCTTCCATTATGTAGGCTCTATGTTCATGATCTTGATTATTTCCTTTGCTATGAAGAAAAACATCCCATTTATTGATTCTTGATTTTACTTCTTGCGCTTTAGGAGTCTTATTGAGAAAGTATGTTCCTGAACCAACATGATGGAGGGTTGGGCCTATTTTTTCTTCTAGTAGGTGCTGGGTTTCTAGTCTAATACCAAAGTCCTTGATTCACTTTGAGTTTTTGTGTAGGGTGAGTTCAATTTCAAAAAACTGGATTTCCAGTTTTCCCAGCACCATTTGCTGAAGAGACTATCTTTTGTCCAATGTATGTTTATGGTGCCTTTGTCGAGTATGAGATAACTGTATTTATGTGGGTATGTCTCTGTCTTCTATTCTGTTCCATTGGTCATCTGTTTTGGTGCCAATACCCTGCCATTTTGTTACTATAGCTCTGTAGTATGATTTAAAGTCTGGTATTGTGATGCCTCCTGCTGCACTTTTCTTGCTAAGGATTACTTTGGCTATTTTATTTTTCCAAATGAATTTTATGACTGCTTTTTCTATTTCTATGAAGAACGTCAGAATTTAAATGGGAATTGCACTAAATCTGTATAGTGCTTTTGGTAGTATGGCCATTTTGACAATATTAATTGTGCCTATCCAAGAATATGGGAGGTGGTCTTTCCATTTTCTAAGATCTTCAGTTTCTTTCTTCAGTGTTTTGTAGTTTTCTTTGTAGAGGTCTTTACCTCTTTTGTTAGTTTGATTCCAGGTATTTTTTTGAGGCTATTTTAAATGGAATAGTTTTCCTGACTTCTCTTTGCACTGATGTGTCATGGGTGTATAGGCATGCAACTGATTTGTGTTCATTTCATATCCTGCCACTTTGCTGAATCGTTTATGAGTTCAAGAAGTCTTTCAATACAGTTTTTTTTGGGGGTCTTCTAAATATAGAATCATGTAATTGGAAAATAAGGATAGTTTGAGCTCTTCTTTTCCTATTGTATCCCTTTAATTTCTTTCTTTTGTCTAATTGCTCTGGCTAGAGTTTCAAGGACTATGTTGAATAGAAGTGGTGAAAGAGGGCATCCCTATCTTGTTCCAGTTTTTAGAAGAAATGCTTTAGATTTTTCTCCATTTAGAATGATGTTGGCCTTGGGCTTAACATAGATGGCTTTTACAATGTTGAGGTATGTTCCTAATCTCCCTCGTTTTTCTAGTGTTTTGAACATGAAGGGGTGCTGAAGTTTTTCAGATGCTTTTTCTACATCTATTGAGATATATGGTTCTTGTCTTTAAATGTGATTATGTGATGAATTATATTTGCTGATTTCCGTATACTGAACCAACCTTTCATCCCTGGAATGAACCCCACTTGATTGTGGTGCACTATCTTTTTAATATGTTTTTATATGCAATATGCCAGGATTTTGAAATAGGAGAACATAGAAATATAACCAGTTCAATTTCAAGCAATGAAATTGAAGATGCCATCAAAAGCCTACCAACAAAGAAAATCCCAGGACCAGGTGGATGGTCAGCTAAGTTCTACCAGACCTTCAAAGAAGAACTACACTAACACTTCTCCAATTATTCCATGAAATCAAAAAGGAGGGAACCCTTCCAAACTCATAAAGCTAATATCACCCTGATATCAAAACCAGACAAAGACAATCTAGGAAAGAAAGCTTCAGACTAATATCATAAGGATGAACATAGATGCAAAATTCTTAATAAACTCCTTTTCCATTATTTTGCTTATCATTTTATTGTTTATTAAAAAGCTAAAATAATACCTGTGTACACACAAACACACACACACATGCACAGATATTCTTTTTTCTTGAGACAAGAACTTACTTTGTTGCCCAAGCTGGTCTTGAACATCCTGGGCTTAAGTGATTCTCCCCACTCTGGAATAGCTGGGAGTACAGGTGCCCAGCTGTATGCACATGAAGTTTAACAAATTGGAATGGTAGAACTTTCAACAGAAATAATAGTCTGGGGGCTGGGGTTGTAGCTCAGTGGTAGAGCGCTTCCCATGTGTGAGGCACTGGGTTTGATCCTCAGTACCACATAAAAATATATAAAAAAGATACTGTGTCCATCTACAACTAAAAAAAAAAACAGTCTGGGAATCTTAAAATACTGTAGGATGATTTCCTGTCTGGTGGAGGGTGGGACTGGAGAGGGAGCTGTGGGGATGGCTTTGAGTAAGTGGGACGGTGGTTCCAGATCATTCCTTATCTGGCCCACCCACCTTGTTCAGGTAGGAGCTGCTGACCTACCTGTGGGTGGCAATGGGTGGGGATGAGGGGAGAGGGGTGTGGCAAAGGAGAGAGTGGGGGGTGAAGATGGGGCCAAATCTAGATCTCCCCTTAACTTCCACTAGGGCTTTCTGGAAGCTTTTCCTACTGATGTACCCTAAACCAAAGAAGGCCCCATAACCATCCTCCTCAAGGTTTAATTTGATTCCAACCTCAGTTCTGCAAAAATATGTCTCAGTGGATCCTAATTCTGTCCCCTTAACCCTGCATCCTGCAGTTAGTTTTTTAATTTTTTGGTAGTTGGAGATGGACAGAATGCCTTTATTTTATTCACTTATTTTTCTGTGGTGCTCAAGATTGAACCCAGTTTCTCACATGTGCTCGGCAAGTCTCTGCCACTGAATGAACTACCACCCCAGCCCTGTAATTAGCTTTCGACCCCGGTGAAAAGCCACCCACACCTCCCCATCTCAGATTCCCCATGGTGGGCAGAAATTCCTGGGCTCTGAGATTTGCCATTCCTTAAGCTAGGCTGACAATGTCCTGTTCTTTGACCAGAGCCAGTGAGTTTCACAGCTTCTCCCCTTTTCACCCACTTTTTTGAGAATCTGACTGTAGAAATCTGACTCCACATGTGCCCTCAGCCCCAGCAATACCATGATCAATACCATCTCTCTCTGCTTTGGTTCTACATCTCACTGCTGTGTCTGGCGGGGCATTATGCTCTCAGTAAGTGGGGTCTGTGGTGTGAGGAGGGTGGGAAGTTGCTCCTGAGTTGAGTCTTCTATTTCCTGCCCAGGCCACGCCCTCCTGTCAAGGGGACGGTGCATAGAAAGGCCAGCTTCCTATAGATTCACAATTACAAGTAAAGAATGAGGAAGACCTTATGTGAGTGGAAAACCTTCTTTGCCAAGTGCTTTTTTCGCAGAGTCACTAGAGGGCAACATAAGTCCAAGTCATAGACTATTAAATAAAATGACATTCTAGAAGGCTGCTTAAAGGAAAAGCTTATATCTCTGTGTGTTTTTGGATCCCTGCTAAATTACACAACAAATTAAAGCCCTACTAAGAAAAACAAGAACAAACCAATCCTAAAACTAGTAGAAGGAAAGAAGTAATAAAGAGAAGAGCTAAAATTAATGAAAAAAATACAAAGGATCAATGAAACAAAGATTTGTTTTTTTCAAAAGATAAATAAGACGGATAAACCCATAGCCAAACTAATTAAAAGAGAAGACCCAAATTGATAACTTAGAGATGGAAACAGG